CCCCAAAACCCCAAAACCCCAAAACCCCAAAACCCCATGATGCTAGAATAGAATTGGAAATGAAGAAATTAATTGATTAGTGAATGGTATATTTGCTATTGCGCCTTAATAGATATTATATTTAAATTCAAAATTTCGTATCTAACTAAGTTGCGAAAATCATTTCTAATGGATAATTCGAGAGATCCGCGCTGCGTCTATATTGCTTAGACCGCAGCCACTTTATTCGGCGCGCCCCAGTTGGCCGCTCAGATTGCTAATGCACCAGAAGTTTCATCATTCTTGAACGAACAGAATATGAAGGTACTGCAGATCCTAACAGATGGACAGTAGTTCAAATGTCTAGCTAACTCAGTCGCTAACCCTCCCGATCGCACTTTGGAATGCCACTTCATGAAGGTCGGTGAACAAGAAATTCAAGCTGATAAGATCCAACACTAACTGATGGTGTCCTCAATCAGAGGCAGCTCAATTCAGTCACTGTACAACTACATCAACAAGGTCTATGCGCCCATTCTCTTTGGAGAAGGCAATGATGACTCAAACAAACTTAATACCTAGCTAAGAGACTTACTGTTTTCATTCAAGGCAGGTCTGCAGAGAACTCTGAGAAAAGGGGGCTAAAACCTTACTCACACCGAATACAACGAAGAGGATGTGAGGGGAATCCTAACACCGATTGATGAAATAGAAGTTTGGCAGGAAAATGAGAGAGAAAACTACGGCAGTTAGCAAAATGAAAATTTGAGAAAGCGCTCAGAGCTCATTAACCAGCACTACTCTAAGGTCTCTAAGCAATTCCAAGATATGGACTAGATGGAGCTGGGAGCGATTACAGCCTTTGTAAACCAGATCTAGGACACTTTAGACCAAATTTGGCAAGACCCCAAGATCTACCCAGTTTACTCTCAGACTAGAATGGAAAAGATGTTCTAGGTGATTGGCAAGTAACTAGGTAGCAGAATTGAGTTAGAGTTCTAGAAGAACGATGTGTGGCAGACTTCTTTTTCAGATGTCAGAGTCAAACTTAACGAGTGCATGAGAATTTGCAAGAACTATAAGGACAGAGTGACTGAGTTGACTAGAGAGTTCTGGAAAGGCAGTGGAATGCAGCATCAATGGAAGGGCAAGGTTTATTCAGACATGTACCTCGAAAACATGATTTTAAGAATCAGTGAGATATTTGAACTCAGATCTCAACACGATGAACTCATCAGACTGCTCACTCCAGAAGAGCAGAAGAGACTTAATGTAGACCAGACATTCAACTCATTCAGAAAGATCAATTCATTCTACACTAATGAGTACCAAGCTCAGACTTGGACAAAAGCTAAGAATGAATATGAAAAAATCCTTGAGCCAATGGAGAAAGAGATTTGCAGTAAACTAAGAAAAGAAATCTTCAACGAAAAGCACACTCCATCCTAACTTCTTAGGGAATTCCAAAGATGGAAAGGTCTACTCAGTAAAGACTCAATTAAGAAAGAACTTCAAAATGAGAGAGAAAGTTTGTTGGTCCAACTCAGCTAGGAAGTTAAGAAAATCAAGGAAGACTTTGAAGCAAGAACTGGCTAGAGTCTGGAGCAGATCCCAGGCATGGATAGACCACCATAAACAAATAATGTCTCAGACGTTGTCTCCTCTATCGTTTGGTCAAGATAGCTATCATCTAAGATTCAGTCAAACTAGAAAGTAGCTCAGAGCTTATTTAGTGACTTAGCTTCAATCTCAAAATTTGACTCAGAATGCAAGGACATTTGCTCTTCAATCAAGGACTTTGAGGATGGACTCTTCAACAAGTGGCAACAAGGAATCCTGAAGTCTATGTAGAGCAAGGATGAGAAGCACAAGTATCAAATGACTGGTCAGCTTATGGAGTTTGACTACAAAGCTGGAGGTTTGCTCAAGGTTAACTATAGTGATAAGCTTGTAACCCTAGTCAAGGACGCTAGAATGCTTGGAGAGCTAGGATTCAAAATCTCTAAAGAAATCATCTAAGTAACTGAAAACGCAAAGAAGTACTACAAGGAAGGAGTTACACTTAAGTAAGTTGCCAACTTCTACAATTCGATGGGTACCCAAATGATTGAATGCCAAAAACCTATGATGCTTGATAAAGCCCAAGCTTTTGAATACATCATTAAGAATCCTAAAGGCAAAAGAGGAGATGATGGTAAAAGTGTAACATGGGGAGATCCAGTTGAAATTGAAGTTTACATCAAGTAAGTCTAGATTAAGGCTACCGAGCTGATATCAGAGAATAGAAGACTTAGAACAGTCCATGTAAATATTGTTGACATGATAATTGAACTCATGAACATTGACCTATTGAAAAATAAGAATCTTTGGAAGGAAAATCTCAACAAGATCAGAAAGATCATTGAATCTGTGACCAAGCAAAGAGCACCTGAGCTCTGTAAACTCTGGCTTACTCACTTAAACTATCAGCTATTCAAGGCACTCGAGCATTAATATCAAATGGGTCTTGAGTCACTGAATGAATCATTACCAGAAATTCAATGTGATTTAGTCTTCAGAAATTAGACCTTAGAATTTAGACCAACCTATGAAGAGCTTAAACAGAGATATTACAAAGAAATCTCAAATTTTATCACAACCCCACTAAGATTTTAAGGCTTTGCTGGCGGTAAAACTGATATCTTCAAGATTCTGCCAGATAGAAATGCCAAGCATTTAAACACAGTCTATCTAAAAGCTGAGGTAATAATACTAAACCATTTTGAATCTAAATTAAATCAAACAAATTTTAATCTTAATTTCATCACTCACTCATTAAATATAGGAATTGTTCCAAAAACTCAGTGAAGTTTCAAGATAATATGTCAGCTGGACTGCTCTTGGACAAATTGACCTTCAAGCCTATATTGAACAAAACTTTAAGACAGTTGAAGATTGGGAGAATAACTTCAATATGCTAAAGCAAAAGAGGAAAGAACTAAAGAAGCTGCCAGACTCAGTTAAGGTTGATTGCATCAATGTTAATTTAGTTCCATTCAAAGGAGGTATTGAAGATATTTTCAAGAGACTCTCTGATGCCTTAGTTGAGACTCTATAAAGCTCAATTGAAAAAGATTCAGAGGTAGTTCACAGATTTATCAAAGCTGGTCTAGAAAAATTGAACTCCAACCCACAAAGTGTTGAAGAGATTGAAAGAATGCATCAAGATGCTGTTTAAATCTAGGTTGAGAAGGATGACATTGTTAAGATATTTGATCAGTGTGAAAAGAAGAATCTAATGATTAAGCAAATTGCTGGTCAAGGCATGAGACTCGGAGAAATAGAAAGTATGTGGAGAGAGTTCGATGCTAGACTGAATGCATTTAATGATAAGATTGAGGATTAAAAGGACAGACTCAGGAAAGAAATTGACTCAAGAGCTAAGGAACTTAACTCAGATCTTGAGAAAATGTTCGACAAGTGGTAAGAGAAAAAACCTAAGGAAAGAAATGATCTTACTAGAGATGAGGCTATGGAGACTTCTGAGATGATGAAGGAGTTAAGAGCTTAATGGGGTGGCCTCTAGGATAGAATCACTAAAATTTATAGAGATTGTGAGCACTTCAAAAAGGATAGACCTAAGTTCACATACTATGATAAGCTCAAGGATGAACTCTAAGATCAAGAAGAAGCATGGGGACTCTTTGATGAATTCTCAAAGGAACTAAATGAATTTGGAAAAGAAGAATGGCTGACTTTCAGAAAGAAGGGCTACTTTGCTTTCCAAGATTTATTCTTACAATGGACTGAAAAACTGAAGGGAAAGAACAAGGATGTTGTTGTAAGATTCTTGCTAACAGAAATTGAAAACTTCAAACTTGCCTGGCCTTTAATTAAACTATGTACTGGCGAGTCCTTTGAAAAGGAACACTGGAGAAGACTTATCACCATGCTAGAAATGCCTAAAGATGTCACATTCGATAATATGAAATTCAAGCATCTACTCGATGCTGTGCCTATTATGATTAAAAGGCAAAAGGAGATCAAAGATCTGAGTGATAAGGCTTAAGGAGAAGTTACTATCAGAGAAGCTATTAGAGAGCTAAAAGTTTGGTGTGATTCAGCTGAATTCATTGTGACTGACTATGATAGCAACGGCAGAAGAACCCCTCTTATTAAAGAATGGAAAGAAATTATAACCCAAGTCAGTGATAATCAGTCACTTTTAATGTCCCTTAAAGAATCCAGATTCTTTGCTGGATTTGCAGATCAAATTGAGCAATTTGAAAAGAGACTTGGTGGTATTGATGATTACTTATCAAAGCTGAATATCATTCAAAGAAAATGGGTTTATCTAGAACCAATCTTTATGAGAGGTGCTCTCCCATCAGAGCAAGGAAGGTTCAGAAGAGTAGATGAAGAGTATAGAGGTATCATGCTTGGAATCGGTGCAAATCCAAAAGTTGTTTCACTATGTGATATTCCAGGTCTTAAAGACACACTTGAGACTATCCTTACTTAGCTTGAAATGTGTTAAAAAGCTCTTAATGACTTCCTTGAACAGAAGAGATCAATATTCTCTAGATTCTACTTCATTGGTGATGATGATTTACTTGAAATTCTTGGTTAAGCCAAAAATCCAGCTGTTATTTAGAGCCATCTTAAAAAACTATTTGCTGGAATCCACAAAGTAGAATTCGACAAAGGCAATCAATAAATTATCTCAATGATTAGTAGTGCTAATGAATACGTAAAACTTAAAAATCCAGTTAGAATCACTGATGATGTCGAGATTTGGCTTGGAGAACTTGAGAAGGCTATGAGAGTCACATTAAATGATGTTCTATTACTTACTATCAAATCCTAAGGGCTTGATATTATGAACACTCCAGCACAGATATGCTGTCTATCTGAAATGATTTCGTTCTCTGATAATTGTGCTGCTGCTGTTAAAAAAGGAAAATTAGCCAATTACAAGCAAGATTTACAGAAGCAACTAGAGTCCTATACATCTTTTGATAATAAGGGCGATATTTTACTCTTCTCAAAGGTCAAGGGTCTGATCCTTGATATCATTCATAATGTGGATGTAGTAGAACAACTTCTAAAGGATCACATTGTGAGCACTCAAAACACCAATGACTGGATGTGGTTTAAACAGCTCAAATATTATATGGATTTGAAGGAGAATACTTCTAAGGTAGGCATGTGTGATGCATTCTTTGACTATACCTATGAATATTAAGGAAATGCACCCAAACTTGTTCATACTCCTTTGACTGACAAGTGCTATTTGACTTTGGTATTGGGAATGAAGATGGGTTACGGAGGAAATCCATACGGGCCTGCAGGTACTGGAAAAACAGAGAGTGTTAAAGCTCTTGGCTAGGCTTTTGGAAGACAAGTGCTTGTATTCAATTGCGACGAGGGCCTCGATTACAAAGCTATGGGTAGAATCTTCATCGGTTTGGTTAAATGTGGTGCCTGGGGTTGCTTCGATGAGTTCAATAGACTCCTAGAAGAATAGCTGTCAGCAATATCATAGCAAATTCAAGTCATTCAATGGGCAATCAAAGAAGGCCAGTCCTCACTAGAGTTACTTGGCAGAAGAATTGAAGTTAACAAGAATGCAGGTATTTTTGTAACAATGAACCCCGCTGGTAAAGGCTACGGAGGTAGATCTAAACTTCCCGATAACCTTAAATAACTTTTCAGACCAGTAGCTATGTCTGTTCCTGATAATGAGCTGATTGCAGAAACTCTGCTGTTCTCTGAAGGATTCAAGCATGCCAAGAAGCTATCAAACAAGATTGTCAGTTTGTTCAAGCTCTGCAGACAACTGCTGTCTGAACAGTAACATTATGATTGGGGTCTTAGAGCTCTCAAGACTATTCTAAATACTGGAGGCCAACTCATTCAAAATGAACTTAAGAAGGGAAAAGCTATTCAATATGAGCAAGAAGCTCTTCTACTTATCAAAGCTATCAGAATTAACACCATGTCGAAACTGACATACTCTGATTCAAAGAAATATGAAGCATTGCAGTCTGATATGTTCCCAGGCATTAAATCAGAAGATATTGCCTACGATGAGCTGACTGCTGCCATCAAGATTGCTCTTGAGGAGATGAAACTAGAACTAATCGACTCCTAAGTTTAAAAGATACTCTAGTTCTACGAAGCTACAAGACAAAGAATGGGAGTAGTAATTGTAGGTCCCTCTGGTTGTGGTAAGACTACTATATGGAGAATATTGAAACTAGCTTATGAAAAAATGAACTAGCCCTTGGTAACTCATGTAATGAACCCCAAGAGTATGCCGAGAAATCAACTTCTAGGGCTAATGAATCACGACACCAGAGAGTTCAACGATGGAGTGCTGACTGCTAGTGCTAGAGCCGTAGTTAAGGAGCCTGCAGAGACTATTTGCTGGATCGTCTGTGATGGAGATATTGATCCTGAGTGGGTTGAGTCTCTGAACTCTGTGCTTGATGATAATCATCTCCTCACACTACCTAATGGAGAGAGAATCAGTTTCGGAAACAACATCAACTTCATCTTTGAGACCAATGATCTCAGATTTGCTTCACCGGCCACAGTTAGTAGACTAGGTATGATCTTCTTGTCTGACGAAGACGTCGATATCTAGAGAATTACTAAGACTTGGCTTAAGAGACAAGATGAGAAGGTACAAAACAAATTGCAAGGATGGATGGAAGACATTTTCTTCAAAGCCCTTGATTTCACGCTTCAACGATAGGAATTCTTCGTAGTTGAGACTACTAAGATAGGAATTGTCAAGAATGCTCTTAGCTATATGAACAATATCTAGCAAAAAGGCTAATTCACTGAAGCAGTTATTAAAGGGCTTGGAGGTAACTTCCAGCTTACACTAAGATAGACGTTTGCACAAGAAGTGTTCAAGTATGCAAATGAAAGACCAGCTGACCCAAGGAACCTGCTGCTTAACTATTTCGATGAAAAAACTGGAGCTTGGATGACATTCCTTGAACAAAAATCAGAAGTGAGAATCGATGATCTTAAGAATCCTGAATAGCCACCAATCGTCTACACTGTCGGTGTTCAAAAGGACATCGCTATGATTAAACCTTGGCTAGATCAGGGAGACTCCTTTATACTTGTTGGTCCAGAAGGTTGTGGTAAAAATCTCATAATTAGCAATCTGATTAAGTCAATGAAGTCTACTCAACTAGCTGTTATTCATTGTAATTCACAGACTTCAGCATTCCATGTTATCTAAAAACTCAATCAAATGTGTGCCTAGTCTACAAATTCATAAGGAAGAGTCTACAGACCAAAAGAATGCCAAAGACTTATTATTTACTTGAAAGACATCAACCTACCTAAACCAGATAAATATGATACTATCTAGTTGATATCATTCTTGCATCAAATAGTCTGCTATAAAGGATTTTATGATGATAACCTAGAGTTTGTCTAGCTTGAGAGAGTTCAAATCGTAGCCTCTATGAATCCCTCCACAACTATTGGTAGACATAAGATATCTACTAGGTTTACAGCTAATGTCAGAATCGCTTATGCTGAATACCCATCCTCTGATGAATTGCTCCCAGTTTATGCTGAGTTTATGAGAACTATACTTAGTCATCCTCAATTCGGTGGAGGAGCAATGGCTAACTCATCTAAGAAATTAGCAACATTTATGATTGAATTATACACTAATGTGAAGACCAACTTTTCAATTGATGAGCATAGACATTATCTATATACTCCAAGAGACATTACCCAGCTTATTTTCAGTTTACTCAGATATGATATCAGAGAGGCACAAGGACTCATTGAAGTTCTTATCTATGAATCATCTAGAATATTCAAAGACAGGCTTGTTGATAAATAAAGTAAAGCAAAGTTTGACTAAATTCTGTACAATCTTTTGAGAAACCACTTAAAATACAATGAAAAGCTTGTTGATACTTATTTCATCAGTAAAATTGCAACTGGAGGTGAGAGACTGATACCCACTCTTCCTCCTCTTGGTAGAATCACAAAGGCTGATTTTATTCATCTGATAGAGCAATAACTCAGGGCATATGAAAGAGAATTCAAAGAGATGAATGTGCATATGTTTGATGAGATTCTTGAATATATTGCCTTCACTGAAAGAGTATTGTCAAAGCCAGGAGGATGTATTTTGATGGCAGGAAGAGCTGGTGTCGGCAGAAAGACAACTACTTAGTTGATAGCTCATATGCTAAACATGAACTTCTTCTCACCCAATATCAGCAGAGATTACAGCATGAAGGAATTCAAGAGAGACCTTAAGTTTGTTTTGCAACAAGCTGGTATAGAAGCCACAAAGACTTGTCTCCTGATTGAAGACCACTAAATTCTAAAGAGTGAGTTCCTAGAATACTTGAACTCATTGATCTCAGCTGGTGAAATTCCAGGTCTGTACACTCCTGAGGAACTTGAACCACTGCTAGCATAGCTTGGTGAGGAAATGAGAAACTAATATGAATGTAGAACTCTTTTTGAATTCTTCGTTTCCAGAATCCAGAAGAACTTGAGCATTGTGATTAGTATGGATCATTCACATCCTAAGTTCTTGCAATATTGTTCATAAAATCCAGCACTGTACACAAAATGTACTATTCTCTGGAGTGAGGGATGGAACAAAGAAGCTATGATACATGTAGCGAAGAACGAGCTTGGGGATGTATTAAACAAGGTAAACAAAGGTAAAGATGAGCTACTTGCTGCTGCAGTTAGTATAAATCAATCTTGCCTCCACCTTGGAGCATCACCTCTAAGATTCTTGAACTTTATTCAAAATTTCAGAATCACTTTCAACAAGATCATTACTTCAAGTGGAGGATAATCAAAGCATTTACAAGCTGGTCTGACCAAGCTTGAGGAGGCAGCTAAGACTGTAGATGAATTGTCCAAGAAAGCTTAAAATTCTAAGATCTTGCTAAAGTAAAAGCAAGAAGAGGCTAATGTAGCTCTCGCATAGATCACCAAGAGTATGGAGCAAAAAGCTGAAAGAAAGTAAGAAATTGAGGCACTTTAAAAGAAGTGTGCAGAAGATGAGGAGATCATCTCAAAGAGAAAATTAGCGGTTGAAGATGAGCTAAAGGATATTTAACCTGAGGTAGATAAGGCTAAAGAATTAGTGGGAAAACTAAATTCACAAAATATCAATGAAATCAAGGCTTACTCTATGCCACCAGATGCAGTAGCAGATGTGCTTTAAGGAGTGCTCAGACTCATGGGATCAGATGACACTTCATGGTCTGCAATGAAGAAATTCCTTGGTACATCAGGAGTAGTACAAAGAATTTTGAATTTCGATGCTAGACAAGTAACTAAGGAAATTAGAAATAAAGTGAATAAGCTTTTAAATGAGAAGCCAATGAGCTTTGAGCATTCTGTTATTAGCGGAGTCTCAAGAGCCTGTGCCCCACTTGCCGCATGGGTAAAGGCAAATGTAAAGTTCTCAGAAGTTTTATTGAAGATTGAGCCACTCTCCAATGAACTCAATGGTCTATTGGCTAAGTTACAAAAATCATAGTAAAGAGTCCAGGAATGCCAAAGATAGTTGGATGAGCTTGATGGATCAGTTTAAATTTTGAATCAAAACTTTGCAACTAAGACTTAAGAAGCTGAATCACTTAAATTCGATCTTAAAAAAGCAGAGGATACTCTTTTCGCTGCTCAAAATCTGCTGGGACAACTTTCTGGAGAGAATGAAAGATGGAGAAGATAGATTCAGAGTCTGGAACACGAACTTGCTTTAGTACCAATAAAATCTCTGCTCAGCAGCGCCTACGTCACTTACCTTGGTGGTGCTAATGAGAGCATCAGAGAGAAAACTCTAAATGAGTGGCTTTAATTAGTTAGAATCAGTGAGTTCAACTTCAGGACATTTTTAAGCACTGAGTCCCAGCTGCTTACTTGGAAGAAAGAAGGTTTACCTGCTGATACTTTGTCAATGGAAAATGCCATAATGATTCTTAATTCAGTAAGGACTCCATTGATTATTGATCCAGCAGCTACTGCCACTGAATGGCTTAAACTTTCCTTGAAGCAGTCTAGTGAGGGTCTAGAAATCTTAAATCATCAGGATCCTAAGTTTAACACCACTCTTGAACTCTCTATCAGATTCGGAAAAGTGTTGATTATTCAAGAAGTAGATGGAATTGAAGCCCTTCTATTCCCACTACTCAGAAAAGATTTAATTCAGCAGGGTCCAAGATAAATCGTGCAAGTTGGAGATAAAGCTGTCGACTACAATCCTAACTTCAAGCTTTACTTATGCACAAGAGATTCATTCGTGGAAATACCACCTAATGCATAGTCTCTCATTACTGCTGTTAACTTCACTGTCACCAAGAGTGGACTAGAGGGATAGTTGCTCTCTATAACAATTAACTTTGAACAACCAGAACTTGAAAGTAGAAAGACCTAATTACTTGAAGAAGAGGAAAGACTTAAGATTTAACTCGCTGGATACGAGAAGATGCTTTTGGATGAGTTAGCTAACTCCGAGGGTAACATCCTTGAGAACAAAGCCCTAATTGATTCACTAAATAAAACTAAACAGCAAAGTACTCAGATTGAGAAAGCACTTGAAGAGTCTCACAACTTACAACTTTCCCTTGATCAACAGAGAAACGTCTACAAGAACTTCGCATACATTGGAAGTAACCTGTTCATGGTCATTGGAGACCTTATTAAGATCAACAACATGTATCAGTTCTCACTTTCTTCATTCATCAAACTTTTCAAGAGAGCCCTAGATACTAAGCCATAAGCAAGTTCAACTGAGGAGAAGCTTAACTACCTATCAAACAGTCTAATCAAGTTGGTATTCTCAGAGATTGGCAGATCTCTTTTCAAGGCTGATAGACTTACATATAGTCTTCACTTCGTCAAAGGTGTTTATCCCAATCTATTTGGCAAGAACGAATGGGAGTTCTTTTCTGGTACAATTGTGGCTAGTTCGGAGTCTCATCTATAATTACCAAGGTGGGCATCAAAGGACAGAAAGGAGATATTCTCAATGTTCTCTAACAGTTTCTCACACTTGATACCTAATCTGCAAATTGACAATGACAGTGTTTGGCAACCATTTATGAAATCAAGTTAACCAGAGAGAGAGTTCCCTCCCGCTGTTTAACAAAAACTAACTTCTTTCTAGCGATGCATTATGATCCAAGTCTTCAGGCCAGACAGACTTGAGTCTGCAATGAACAACTTTGTAAAGGAGTCCTTTGGAAATCAAACCTTGCAACCAACTCCATTCACTCTTAGTCACATGGCAGAACAAGAGTCATCCCCAGGAGAGCCTATTCTCTTCATCATTTCAGCCGGTTCTGATCCTAGTGCTGAGCTCTAAGAATTCGCTGAGTAATACATTGGAAGAAATGCTTATCACGAACTAGCTATGGGAGGTGGATAGAATGAAATTGCAATTTAAACTGTAAAGCAAGCTGCTCAAAAAGGAGAGTGGGTTTGCCTCAAGAATCTTCACTTGGTTACTCCTTGGTTACCAGTTCTTGAAAAAGAATTCAAGATGTTGACACTTCATCCAAAGTTCAGACTATGGCTAACCTCAGAGCCCCATCCAAAATTCCCATCAATCCTGCTTCAATCCAGTCTTAAAATTACTTATGAAACTCCTCCAGGCGTAAGAAATAATCTTCAGAGAACATTCTAGTACGTGGCTCCTGCTCAGCAATAACAGCAAGATACACTTTAAACTCAAATTCTCTTCATTTTATCTTGGTTCCATGCTTTAATCCAAGAGAGAAGAACTTACATTCCTCAAGGCTGGACAAAATACTACGAGTTTTCTTACGGTGATCTCAAAGCCGGAGAACAAGTACTTATCAACATCAGAAAGGAAACCTAAGGAAATGGGGCCATCTAGTGGCAAAAGGTTTACGGAATCCTAGAAAATGCAATTTATGGTGGTAGAATTGATAACGACTTTGATCTCAGAGTGCTTAGGAACTATATGCAGCAAATATTCAAAGATGAGACACTCAAAGGAACTAAGAAACTATCTGATATGATCTAAGTTCCACAATCTGGCTAAACCAGAGATTTCGTAGGTGTAATTAACTAAGTCCCTGAATAAGACAATCCTTTACTCTTTGGACTACCTTCAAACATCGACAGAAGTGTCCAAAGATTCAACAGTCTTGCAGTCATAGCTTAATTGAAGTCTCTAGCTGCAGTAAGCGCTGAGGAATTGAGATTTGATAAGGATAAATGGTCTTAATTACTAGGTCCAATTACCTAACTTTGGAATACACTTTACAAACCAGAAGAATACAATTAAATTAAAATTACCCAATAGCAGCTAGGTTCAAATGATCCAATTGAAGCTTTTGTATATATGGAAATGCTATATGTGGTTGAAATCCTTCAAAAAGTCAATGAAAGTGTAGTTAGCATAATTAAGGTCCTTCAAGGCACTGAAATGCTCACTCCAGACACTGAGAAAGTAGCTACTGATCTGCTTAGAGGTGACATTTCAAACTCATGGTGCACTATTTGGGATGGACCAGCAAATCCGAATGCTTGGATTAGACTTGTAAACAAGAAAGCTCAATCACTCAGAGGTTGGATTCAAAGAGTGAGTCAACAGCAACTCTTGAAGAATACTGTTAATCTGAGTGACTTATTCCACCCCGAGACATTCTTGAATGCTTTAAGACAGAGATCAGCCAGATTGTAAGTTACTATTAAATTTAACATTTTATTCTAGGCTAAATTACGCTATTGATGAATTGAAATTAGTTTCCAGCTTTGAATCAGGCAAGGTCAACTTGACCACAGGAGTTCAACTCGAGGGACTTTGGCTTTAAGGCTGTGAATTCGATGGTTCGAGATTAAATGAAATCAAAGACAACTCAGGAAGTTCTTCAGAACTAATTAACTTGCCAATCTGCTATATCTCTTGGATCAAGAGAGAAGACCCAGAGCCTTACTAATCAGGGGCAGTTGTAAGTTCAATTAATGATTATAAATATCTTTTTAGAATGTACCAGTTTATCACTCGATCGATAGAGAGAAACTTCTTTGCACTTTTAACGTGCCAAATCAAGGAGAGGATTGGAAACGTATCATTGGAGGTGTCGCCCTATTCTTAAATGGATCAGAATGATACCAAACTACTTAGACAAACAATTTAAATTCATAATTTCAAAACTTAAAACATTTAACCACCTGAATTGCTTTTTAATTGTTATGATTGTGGGGTTTTGGGGTTTTGGGG